CTGTCAAAGGCCTTCAATCACATTGGAAAAATAAGCTCCCTGTGTGCGGCACAAGACAGCTGCTCAGAAACTTCATTACAGTTGCAGGAGCAGTGGATTGGACATCAGGAGACCTGGTGTGCTCTGTCACTGACCAGATATATGCCCACAGACTCCTCTAAGCTTCAGTTTCCCACAAGAAAAATACGAGGCTTGAGTGAAATCACTAGTTCCCAAACTGGCCTATGCATGAGAATTTCCTAGGAAGATTATGAAAACACCTCATCCCAGGAGATTCTGGTTTAGTGGGTATGAGTGGGACCTAAAATTCTATATTTTAAGCAACTACTCTAGTGAAATCTACTGCAGACAGACTATGTACTAGCAGAGCAACTATGGAATTATATAACCATTAATGTCCCTTTAAGCTCTTTAATTATCTTATGATTTTAAAGACTAGATGAACGGAATGTGCAACAATAGTGCAGAACAGCCAGAGGCACCAAGAGTTAGGAGACAAAAGGGAATGTATTAGTGTCCCATGGCTACTGTGACAAGGCACAAAAAACTGGGTGGTTTAGAACAAGAAAACTCTGCAGTGCTGGAGGCTAGAAGTCAAAATCAAGTGATTGGTTGGTCCATGCTCTCTCTGACAGTGACAGGGGAGAACCTTCCCTCACCTCTCCTGGCTTCTGGTATGCACTGGCAATGCCTGGCATTCCTTGGCTCATAGAAGCATCACTCCAATCACATGGTCATCTTCACCCTGTGTGTCTTCACTCTGCCCTTTCTTTGTGCGTGTCTGCCTGAATCCCTTTTTATAAGGACACCAGTCATATTAGATTAGGGCCTACGGTAATAACTCATTTTAACTTAATTACCTTCGTAAAGACCTATTTCCAAATATAGTCACACTCTGAGGTACTGATGGTAGGACCTCGGCATATCTTTTTTGGGAGGATGTAATTGAACCCATAATAGGGTATTTGCAAGGAAGAGTTAACATTTGAAAGAAAGGTGGTATTTGCTTAGATAGACCATGAGGGCACAGCTTTCTAGGTGACAAAAAAAAAAAAATCTGTGAAGAACAAATCATCATGTTGGTCCAGGATGATAACTAGCATGGCCCGGCAGGAGAGCTGCAGCAGTGGCAGTGGTGGCGTGGTATACCAGTTGTTTAGACTAAGTTCTACAGAGGGTTTGTCCTGGGCCTCTCAGGGTCCCCACTGCACTCCACATGTTGTCTTTCACAGCAACCCTAGAAGTAGGTAACATTATTCTGATTGTGCAGATGAAGACGCTGGGGTACAGGGGAGTTAGGAGACCTACCCCATCGTGAAACTAGAGGGTAGCGAATTGGCTTTTTCTGATCCCAAACTTTTGCCTCTTAGGATGATGATCAGTTGCCTTCTTCATAGCACTCATGCAAGATAAACTTGAGTGAATAGATCAGGGCTACTTTATGGAGGGCTTTGATAATAAGGCAGTAGAGTTTGTGTTTGATATGACAGAAAAATAAGGAGCCATTTCTAGTGTCTGAAGAAGTGGACCATGATGAAGGGGATATTTCAGGAAGAGGAGTGTGTGATTTCCACCCGAGGATGCATTTTCTTTACAGAAAGAAAAAGCAGACTTATAATGAGAAGCTGTTGACCATGAAGAGTTTCTTTTCACAGGGTTTTATCAAGTGGTTTGCCTCTTCCCCACTGATGTCTCTTAACCAAGAATATCCTTTAGTACTTTAAAAACTATGCTTGCTTGATTTCTTTTTACCCAATATGCTTTGTAAGTTCCTCACACTAGTGATAAAGCACTGATCACTTCATAGCCACAGCACAAATGCTTTTAAACAAGAATTTTCCTTGACTTATTAACTCTAGAAACTCAGATTTCAGTTTAGTGTTTTGGGGGGGTTTGTTTGTTTGAGGCATCTCCTTTAAGAACCTGATTTCGGGTGGTTCAAAATGTATTTTGTTATGTATAAACTGACCAACTTTCTCTCTGGTTTTGCCATATATGCCTCTAGTAGAGAAAAAGGGTGAGGAGAGAAGTGAGCATAATGACAATGAAAGCTTACATTTATTAAGCATATTACTATGTACAAGTCACTTTTTACATGCCTTACCCAACTTAATCAAAAAGTGTACATGTAATAACTGGTGAGCAATGAAGTCATTGTGGTTTCTCCGTGATTGCACATTTGGTCCAGGGAACATAGGAAGGTAGGATTAAGCCTCACTGTTCTTGCAGGATGACTTGAGGAAAAATCTCCTTCCTCTGGAATTAGAAATTTGGATCAGTAGAGACCATATGCCATCCCCAAAACTTGAGCCATCCAATGTCCTTTCCTACACAAGATCACCTGACATAAATATACAAAACTACACATAAATTAATGTGGCACCCATGTCCCCATAGAAAACTGATGAGTTCTCGATTTTGACTGCCTTAATATTTGTGTACCTGCATTTCAGTCCAGGTCTGTCATGCCCCAAGCAGGCCTTTCCATTTGGGTGTCCATATGACAAGTTGGCCCCTACAAATCTAGCTGTGGCCACAAAAGAGCACATTTGAATTATGGAAGTGAAACAGATGCATGAACTTTAGCTGGAGAGCACAAGAGATCCAGAGAACTTGTGTCTTTTTGTCTGTTTCCCTGCTTTGGTGATGTAATACACAGCTTCCCAGGAGACCTGAGGTCCTACCAGTCACTGCTTCGACCCTGCAGCTCAATCCAGAAACAGCTGTCCAGAGCTAATTTATTTCCTAATGCTGCGGCACTGTTAATTTATAAATTACACTGGTAATTCGAGCTATTATTAATTTCAGATGGTGTAGGGCAAGCCTAATTAAAATATGACACCAATTGCCACACATATGTACCAAGGACTACCATTTAAAATTAATGGGAATATTAAGTGTGACACTGGTCTCCGAGATGCTTGGCACAGTAATTATAGCATTCTGGCAGGGAAAGCTCTGACAAATGTAAGCCCATGGTTGGTAGCAAATAAACAAGGACAACACAAGAGGAATTACAGATTTTCTCAATTCTTCTACCCATCCTCAAATCAAGGTTAGTACCTTTCCCCTAAAGATGCTTATCAAACAATATTATTAAAGGCTACTGAGACCATTAGAAGTGTCTTACTGGTAGCAACTATGAGTCTATTTGGGTTAATGTTGTTTGTCGTCTTCATATCCTGGTCTTTTTGGCCATGTTTTCTACTCATGAACAGGTTCCTTCTTTGTCTTATGAATTTAATATCTCTTTCTTGTTTGTTGTAATGGACATAGGCTGTTCTTTTCCTCTTCTCTATGTATCAGAGGCAAGAAACCTTCTGTACATACATAGTGTAGTTTGCATATGGCATGAAGATGTATGAAGTGCGGCCCCAGGTGGGCCTACTGCTGGGCAGTGGCACAGACTTACCACGGCTAAAGAGTGCTGATCGAATGGAACAAGGCAGTGGCCCTTCTTCACAAGACCATGGTCTTGCTGTTGTTGCTGTTGTTACTGTTATTGTGGTTATCTTGACAAAACAGTGACTTCCACACTGTCATGGAACACATACAATCATCCCTTACATACCACACACATCATCCCTTGTTGTATTGGTTTTTTACAGCTACTGTTTTTGTGCTCTGGGCCAGCAGAAACATGTGGCATTACAGAAGGGTTTTATGACCTGGAGAGAAATGTTCCTTTGTTCCCTTTCTTGGGCCACTCATGTTAATACATGAGTGAAGCTGTACCTCCAGCCAGATTATAGGATTAATAGCTAAATCAACAGGTGGGCAGCACACGGGAGTTTCAGAGTGCTTTCGTATGTGTCTGTGTGTGAGTGTGTACATATATAGGCATGTTCGTGTGTTAGTCTAAATAGCCCTGTGACCCTGTGAGGTATTAGGATTGTATGTATATTACATTTGGGAACATACTTCTCAATTGCTAGGGACAGTCTTAACTTATGCCTGTTGTCTGGTAATAATCATTAATTACTAGCACCTCTTTTCCTTTTAAAGGTATCCAGGTTTAGGATGCTGTCATTGTAATTACTCTCATTTAAGAGAAAAGGGAGGATAACTTGGGATGTAAGCTCTAACTTTTGTTTTTCATTGTCTTTTGGCAAAGAAGCTAAGGCTCGGGTGCCTCTGGGAGAGAACTTTGAAATCTCCTCTTGCCTTAAATATCTTGGTCTTTCAATAACTGAGTGTTCATGGCCAGACGTCAGGCACAGAGTCTAGTGTGTGAAGGGTTGTTATTATTACTCATAATTTTTCACTAAAGACAATAAGTCCTGCGATGATGAGGGGACTGAGTGGATTTGCAGCCGTGTCACCTGATGAATTTCTGACATGCTTACAGTTAGGCATCAAGCGCGGAGTCCCATTGCTGATCTTTCTTTAGGATCTTGTACCTAGGAGCTCTAGCAGATCAAAGTTGAGCACGTTGATTTCTGCCTATCCAATTAATTATCTGAGTCAAAAAACAGAAAGTTAAATTTATTATGTTAGTGTTTCTGCTGCCTTTGTGGTGTGTGTGTGTGTGTGTGTGTGTGTGTGTGTGTGTAGCTGCTGGTGTGGCATTTTTAATTAATTTATGCTCAAGGATGTAGTCATAAACTTTATATTCAAGGCTCAGTCTAAGTGATACCTTGAGATCAGAAAGAGTTAAGGTGCCTAACTTAGATCCCAGAGCACAACTGCTTGGTAAGATACAGGCAGTGTAAATGTCAAAATTATTAATCACTTATCGGGACCAGTAATTCTCCAGGCACTGTGCTTAGTTCACTTAGGAACACAAACAATTCAGCTGTTCCACTGGGGAGCCAAGGAAAAGTTGGTGGTGCGGAGGTGTAGAAGAGATGGAGGAGGGATAATCCTCAAAATTCCTCAAAATCTGAACTTACAAGTGGCGAATTATCTACAGACATAACCATTTTATACTTTGTTTTCTAAGTTAATATATTTGGTCTTTTTTTCCTTGTATTTCACCAACGTTACTGGTTTTTCCACAGCGGTTGGCTTTGTGAGTGAAGACGAATACCTGGAAATTCAGGGCATCACCCGGGAGCAGTCAGGGGACTACGAGTGCAGCGCCTCCAATGACGTGGCCGCGCCCGTGGTACGGAGAGTAAAGGTCACGGTGAACTGTAAGTGTTCTCACCACCACCCACCCTGCACGTGCATGAGGCTGGTCTGTTGTCACAGCCACCACCCAGAGCCCATTGGCACACCCAGCTACTGACTTAGGGAGGGAAGAATGCAGCACCACCTTCCATATTCTGCTTTCAGGAGCAACCATTTCTGACTCTAGTTTTTGACACCTCAAGGTGTCATGGTGTCACATTAAAAGAAAAAGTAGCTGAAAGTAACTGAATGTAATGCCAAACTTGATTTGCATGGCTGGGAGATCATTAAATGGCATTCAACTCATAATTTTTTAAACAAGTCTTCAAATCCAAAATTTTCCCATAATTTACTCACACAATACAGTTATGCTGGCGCCTCTCACTGTCTAGACCAGACATCTCCATAATGGGACAAGAAACCATGTGCTAGAGTGTATGAAGGAAGTTTAGAACTTCCCTTTGTGGTTCATCTATTGTATCTCATTATTTTACACTTACAGATGTGCATGGTATACGTACAAATAGCTATGATATAGATCTTAGAGGATGTAACAATAAATTTGCTTGTTACTAACAAAGATACAGAATCCAAGAAGTTTGAAATGCCCTGTGTGGACCCCTCATTTCCTTTCTCAGCCTTCCAGATTCTCTCTGACATCAATCCTACTTGAATTTCCTACCTCCTTTCACTCTTTTCCCTCTGGGTTCCTCATTATGTACCTTGACTTAGCTCCCTACAACATTCTGGAAGTTTTCTCTGCTGTGCACATTCCAGGAAGACTTAGGAAGAAATAGAACTCAATAACTAAATCGGGAAATGAGATGACTTTTCCCTTCAAAACTTGGGTGGGGTGGAGTTAAAAGAAGGAGACTGTAGCTAGGAGAATATCCAATCTTTAAGATTTAGGTTTCTGTTACAATGTGAACACAGTCAATATAAAGCAGTTTAAGAAGCAAGGCAATAGGTATAAAAATGCTGTCATTTTAAAAATTATATCACAGTTTTTACAAAGGGACTTAAGAGGATTTGCAGTTTATAAAGATGAACTTAAAACATAAAGAAACAGAAGCAAAGAAAAAATACGCTTAGGAAAGTGAGTGAAAGCTAGGAAAACCCCAGCACATGAAATATTACCACAAGATCGTTCGGTGCAGGTGCAGAATTTGGCTTAGCCTTGCTAAAGCAAAGAGAGAAACCTCACCTGCTTTAAAATTCATGTTGTCCATAAGATAAAAGCAAATTAGTTGCTTGGGAGAAACACTGCCTTCCCTGGTATTGAGACCCTAGAGAAAATTCTCTTCAGGATCTCCACAAATAGAGCACTTTGAGAGAGAGTCAGCAACATCATGTACAATATTTCTGCATTAAATAGAATAGCCAGTTTATTGTGGCTGTTTTTCATAATGCCCTGTAATAGAAACTGTTAGAATGTGAAGGGTAGTTTGGGAAAGACTTCAGATGAATGCAGACCAAGTGCATACATAGGCCTAGTGTGGTCACCTGCTCTGACTTGATTCAGGGATCTGTTTTAGAATACCAAGAATGACTCATCTGTATATCCTTCAGGCAATTCTCCTTGAATGTTATTTCTTGCAACTGAGCTTTTGATGGGAATTGAATAGTTCGAGGTTATATACTTTTGGCAAGAACCTGGTGTGCAGAAATTCTAGAAGGCTGATTAAAGGAGCTGACTGTCAACCCTTGGAGTGTAGGGTTGATGGGCTGGCATCATCCTATGAAAGTTAAAAAGTTTAAACAGAAAAAATGCTTGAGTACATGGTCATTTCAACTCTGTACAGAGGAGAACAAAAGCAACACATGAAAGAAAGACCCAGCTTTTTCTTAGAGCAGCATCAAAAATATTTTTAATCTCTGGTACAATTTGTGTAGCAATTTTACTGTCTAAGTAAGCAGAGCCAGGACAGAGAATGAGAAACAAAATCAACAAAGGAAGCAGCCTTCTTCATTTTAAAATGCATTTTAAAATGCTGTAGGTCAGGTGCAGTGCCCTGTAATCCCAGCACTTTTGGAGGCCGAGGCAAGCAGATCACCTGAAGTCAGGAGTTGGAGACCAGCCTGGCCAATACCGTGAAACCCCGTCTCTACTAAAAATACAAAAATTAGCCAGGCATGGTGCCGTGCACCTGTAATCCCAACTACTTGGGAAGCTGATGCAGGAAAATCGCTTGAACCCGGGAGATGGAAACTGCAGTGAGCCAAGATCATGCCACTTGCATTCCAGCCTGGGCTACAAGTGCGAGACTCCATCTCAAAAAACAAAACAAAACAAAACAAAAGGCTGTGAGACATCTTCTTTCTGCAGATCCACCATACATTTCAGAAGCCAAGGGTACGGGTGTCCCCGTGGGACAAAAGGGGACACTGCAGTGTGAAGCCTCAGCAGTCCCCTCAGCAGAATTCCAGTGGTACAAGGATGACAAAAGGTAAAGCTTCCTTCTTTCCTATCCCACCCCCACCCCCATCTCCAGAAGAAACTTTTCCAGGGTCCTGATTCCAGATGGTTGCAAATGAACTCTGTAAAATCCTCTTCTGAACTTCTCCTCGCTATAGGGGGCAAATGTGCAAAGAAGTCTTTTCTTAACATTAATGGATTTCAGCTACGTTTTTAATGTCATCATGCAGAATTATCACCGGCCAACCAACAGATCTGAAAGGTAACTGTTTTTAGGAAAGCAAAATCGCAAAGGAAAGGCCACCAGGAGCATTGTAAGGCCTGTGAATTTTTTATAGGCCAAGAACATAATGTGTTCTGCCTGAAGCTATTTTTACCACATTCTCAGGCTTGCGTGAAGGAGTTAGGAAGGCTCACGGGGCCCTGGGAGTGGCTAATAAGTTAGCTGCAGCTAGCAGGTCTCCCCGCCTGTTCCAGACACTATCAGTAGCGTTGTATAAGAGTCCATGACCCAATTTAGCCCTCCCTTTGTGCCCAAGTTGTTCTTTTACTGTAGGAGAAAAGAGAAGGGACTATTCCCTTCCTTCCCATTGTCATGGCCGTCGTGGGGATATTTGTTGTGAGTCACTGAAGATGATCATTTTGAGGTGTTATCAAATGGCATATCAGTGCAGGGATCAGTAGCTCAGTACATCCAGGCACCATGGCAATTGCTGTTATCAAAGAGCCATTTTAAGGCGGATGAACAATGGAAAATGGGCAAGAGCTGCCTGTGTTCAGAACATTTTCATTTAAAAAGAGGTGGTGGTATAGGGATGCAAGAGAGTCCTGAGGTATATGTGGGGTGGAGTAAGAGCAAGGAGTGAGGGAGGCTGGGAAGCTGAGAAGGAAAAACAATGAAGAGGGCATTCTGAGAAGGGGAGCAGCATGAGAAACCGCAGGCCAGGAGCGAGTGAACGGCTGCCCACACCGTGTGCACATCTTCGGCCGGCCTTGGCTTTCTTTCCTTATGAGGTTGGTCAGACACCAAAAGGTCTTTCTAGTCTCTAGATCGAAAACTGAATTTTGGTTAGAACCATGTCAGTCAGTTGTAAGATTCACTGTGTCTTATCATAATCCTCCCAAATGAAAAGCATTGTTTTGTTTTTTCAAAAAAAGAAAAAATTTAAGGACACATTCTGGCAGCTACTAGTGAGGTGTATTATATTCATCTAGCCCATTTTACAGATGAAAGAACTAAGACACAAAGAGGAAAAACAAACTCACAAAGAAAAACAAGAAATAAGCTAGCTTTCCCCTTCTTCCAAGAAAGAAGAATCAAGCAGAATGGAGTGTGTTTTTCTGATAAATATGGTAACCTTACTCAGAAATTCTCTTTCACTTATCCATTCCCTCTCTGACCTTCTTATTGTACTAAGAAGTAAACTGAGGCATAAAAATTAATTATTGAACCAAACCAAACCAAAAACCTATTGAGCTATGGGGTCAGTTTCCAAATCTTCAGTTGTCTAGGTCTTAGTGAAAAGTCATCAGCAGCGCCCTATTATTCCAATTCTTTATTGGAGAAAAACAGAAAAAAAAATATTTAGGGGAAAGCAAAATCTTGGAGGAAAGTAAAGCAAAAGTGGCCAGTGGCGAGTAAAAGGATGAGAGCGCTCTCCTCTGTGCAGCATCTGTGGTCACAATAGAGACAGCTCTCCCTGCCACCATTTACCCAGGAGGAGAGAGTGGCCTGGCAGGGCCAGGGATGGTCTTCAGAGGCCCCTGGCTCAGGCAGCTTTGTTTCTGCCTTTCAGTTCTTCTGATGGCCTTTCCTTTTCTCCCCTTTCCATTTAGTTTAGTCAGTTTTCCCTTTGCTGCACATGTATGCATTTATTTCCAGTGTGCTGGCATGAGACAGGGCTGTCTTTCCTCCTGGCACCCAGCTCAGCTGCAGCATCCCTGCCTCTGAGGTCCTGATCACAGCCCATTGGGTCTGCCAGGCAGGTCTCCCAAGGCATATTGTGTCTGCCCTGGGGGAAGGCCAGCTCTAGCCCATCTCCCATTTTCAGTGAGATGAGCAGACTTCCAAGGCAGATTAAAGGAAACTGTGTAGTGAGGACAGGCAGTTTTCTCAAGAGTTAGGTGAGAAGTCTTTTGGCCACATGCTAGAATGACTCAGCCGCATGCTATTGTGTGTGTTATCCGACAAAGGAAGAGGAAATGCTATACCTACAGAAGGCCACCCATCCAACAGGGGCATTGGCCAATGAAAAGCCCACAGCTTTCGTAAGAAACTGAGGCCTGGGAGCAGTGCGGGGTGGAGGGGATGTGTACCCGCACTGAGAAGGAAAGTGTGTCCTCCCAGGAGCTGCAAAGCCTGCAAAGTGCTGCTGGCCCCCTGTGCTGTTTTTAGCTAAAGACATTTCAGAGCTGTCAAGCAGGAACCTACTTCCAGTTAAGTCTCTCCCAACTGCAGAGCTGAAATCTCATTCACAGTTTGGTTGTGATGGGAAAGTTTCCTCCCCATGGTGGAGGAATGGTGTCAAAATGGCCAGTGGGATCAATCAGCCTGACTTGCTCACAGAATCCTCCTGGTGAGTGGCATGGACAGCACCCCCTAGAGGATCAATGTGTACATAACAAGCTGGAAATGTAAAAGTGGCCTCTAGCTGTGCAGCCGGATGCCTCATTCCATTTGGACAGTGCTAGCATTTTAATGAAGCTGTGGACTCAGGCCAGTTCATTGCCCCTAGCTTTTGGAGAGGAAGGCTCCCAGAGGAACATCTACATAATGAAAAGCAAGGCAAGTCTGTCCAACCTATCTTCTGACTTCCCCGGAGGCAGATGTTGGGTGAGAACTCCAGCCAGAACCTGCCTGTCTTTTCTGGTCAAGGTCACTGTAAGTTGCAGGAGTGGAGAACATGATTCTGTAACCCCACAGAGACAGGTCTTCAGAAAAAGCAGGTGCCCTCTATGCCAAAACATGCTGCGACCCAGGGATGGGCAAGAGTCATCTATGTCTAACTCCATAGAAATACATTATACTGATACCATTGTGTGGTCCGCAAAGCATTTCCTCATCATTGTCTCAGTGCTTTCCTTTCTCTTTCTGCCTTGAGTACTGGTTTTTTCAGTAGCATCCATTTGCCCCACAGCATGTCCCCTGAATCTGTTCCAGTATGCTCCCACTATGACATTGTCTGCTTGCTATAAGTTGTGCTCCAGCCCGGCCCTAAACAGGAAACTTAGCTTTGTGTCCATATTCCCTGAGATCCTTCATCAAGAAGGGATTTTTGCCTCAAGAGTATTCATCTTTCCCATAGCACAGAATCAGCTTCAGGGCAAGGATTACAAATTGTTTCAGGGAAAGTAAAAGGTTGGCTTAAAGTTCATTCTAAGAAATGAACATTTCAGAATCTTGCAAAGGAGGGTAGGTGGTGTCCATGATTGCCATAGGAATTGCTGTTAACAACCTCCTGAGAAGGAGGATACATGCCTACTGACTCCAACAGCAGCTTTCTCCTTACCCTTTTATCTGCCCGGTAATAGAATCCATGGTTCTAATAAGCATACCTCCCTTCCCCCAACTAACTCCCTGTGGCATTTCTTTAGTGGCCCCGAGACCAATGCAATCCTCTTGGCTTACTGGGCTGCCATTGTGGAAGATAGGGAGACTGTCCTGGCTCTAAAGGGACATACTCTTAGGAACCTCTAATCCCTCCAGACTAATCCTCTGTAATAGTCTGGGCAGATCACTCCTCCCAAGCCCTTCAGAGTCCCCTGATGAGAAAATGATGATTTTTCTCCTCTTCATAGCCAAAAAATTAAGTATTATCTATACAATGCCTCTGGTGCTTCAGGAGAAATTAGATTACCAGGTACTTGAAAAACATTCCTCTTTCAAATTCCTCAGGTGGCTCTTCTCTCAGAAGTTTGAGTTTTTCATTGGCATGGTTGTCATCATCGCCATCACCATCATCATCATCAAGTCCACACTTTTGAGCAGCTACTGTGTGAATCGTATTGTTCTGAATGCCACACAGCTGGCGGGGTATTTGCTGTGGCGTTGCTGTCAGGCCACAAAGCAAGGATGAGAGGCTGCAAAGATCAGATGTTCTGGCAGGAGCGCCCCAGGCACATGTGTGAAAATCAAGAAACACGTGTCACCCACTGTGTGTGAACTACTACCACTTTATGGTGTGGTTGAGTGGATCAAATAGTGGTTATAATGATGTCAGAAGCGGGGCAAGGAGAAGATCATGAATCCCTGGGCCTACCTGCTTCCTATGAGGACACATAACCATCTTGTTTTCTTCTTCTTCTTTTTTTTGTCTCTCGTTTCTCTCAGACTGATTGAAGGAAAGAAAGGAGTGAAAGTGGAAAACAGACCTTTCCTCTCAAAACTCATCTTCTTCAATGTCTCTGAACATGACTATGGGAATTACACTTGCGTGGCCTCCAACAAGCTGGGCCACACCAATGCCAGCATCATGCTATTTGGTGAGACTGTGCTCTGAGCTGGGCAAGAAGAGGGGAGAGGGTGCAGAAAGCAAGAGCTGGGTGGGAGGGCCCCTTAAGGCCAGGGTCAGAGGTTAGCAGAGTAGCAGTGGACATGGAGAGGGAAAATAAAAAAGAGAGAGACACAGAAAGAAATGGAGAGAGAGGAAAAGAGAGGGAGACAGAGAGACAGTGAGAGACAGAGATAGAGAGACACAGGGAGGAGGCAGAGAGAGACAGACAGGAAGAGAAAGAACAAGAGAGACAGAGACAGACAGTGGACATGTATGCAAAGTAGTATATGTATAGTACATGTATAAAAGTAGATCTCAGAAGTGGGAAAAGAAAAACGAAAACGTTTATGTTTCATTCTATAATGGAAAAGATCCTGAGACGGGAGAAAAAGACTTTGGAATGCCAAAAATGACATTTGATTTTTTTTTTTTTTTTCTCTCTCAGTGATGGCTCCTAAACTGACTCTGGGAATCGTAATTGGGTAAAATAGTCAAGAACTCAGAGGGGAACGTTTGCTATTTCAGTCTTTGCTCACTGGCTTAATGTAAAATTTTCCCTTTTCCAAAACTGTTTCCAGTCGCTGGGATGTGAAGGGCCCCGCCTTCGTCACATATCTGGCTACTGTATTGATATCAGAAGCAAGTGAGCGAGCTCCCTTGTAAACTCTGATGCCTGCCCCTGTGAGCAGAGAGCTGTGCAGACGTGAGCCTGCCGTCCTGACGGTGCCACCAGGCAGGGCTCCAGGCCTCTCATGATGAATGCAGATTCTCCCTACAGGCCACAGGATTAAATTCCGGTTGGCTTTTGGGCAAATCCCTTCATACCCCATCAAGTTCTTTGAGCTTGAGATTTTTCAAATCTGTTTCCCCAATCCCTCATGTTAACAAGCGCTCTTGAATGTGATGGGGAAGTAAGGGGAGGCATTTGACAGATAATTTGCGAGAACACAAATTCCTTGTATTCTGAGAACTTTGGGATAATCCCACAACCCAGCTACGTGCTTTCGGTGATAGCGTATGTGGCTTGCTCCGAATCACGAGCCCGCACTGCTTCACCACAGGATCTCTGCTTGCCCATTACATCCGCCCGCATTCCACCCGGCACAAATAGTAAAGCCAGCTTTATCTGAGAGGGCTGGGAAGGAGAAAGCCGCCCTTGATCCCCGAGCCAGTGGCTCGGAATGGGCAGAGCTGTGATTTGAGTGATTGATGTGTCTGGCATCTCTCACACAGGGATGATAAGTGTCCCTTGCATTCGTCAGACCTTTTTGCTTTTTTGGCAGGCGTCTGTCTGCATGAACAGAGACCAGGATTAGGGAGGAACAGACCCCTCCTTCCCTTGCCTTGCAAATCTAAGGCTCCCCCTCAGTCTCCCATTAACCCCTCCCAAGTCCTGCTCTCCGCCCACAGCAGTCCTTGTCCTCACAGGAGTAGCCTTCTCCCCCAGTCCTCCACTTTGACCTACTCTCTCCTGACTTGGTTGTATGAAATGGTTCAGCCATTGGCTTTATCACGATTGTCTATTTCCCCAGCTTCTTCCCCTTAAGCCATCTCAGGATGAGAATAGGGAGAAGCAGCAAACAGTTCTCCTAAGAGTTGAATAGATGGCATTTATGACAAGGAAAGCAGTGAAGTGTGGGTCATAAATATGCTCTTTTCAGCAGGCACACGTGTAGCAATTACAATGTCTACTTCCTGTGCCCCCCGCCCTATGGGTCTGTCAGCACCTGCCCTGTGCCTCCTTTGGGACGTTTCTACCATTGCCAGCTCTCTGGAGTCCAGGGTTTTCTAAAAAGGACATGAAAAAGTGATAGTATATATTCAAATATGTTTAGAAAGACTGGGTCACACCAAGATGAGTGGGGTACATGTGGGGATGTCCTTTAATGCCAGAAGTCTCGGAACTTTAACATGCTAAATCTCTAGGGGAGAAAAAGTTTGCAGCACGTTTCAATCAGAAACCAATTTAATTTGTTAGCTTCAGTTGGGAGATCATTCATGAGGAGCCCATCGCTGGAAATGCTGCCTGGGTAACATAGTTCTGTGGAGCTCGCAACCCCCATTCCTGTGTGAGATGAGTATTTGCAGCCAATAGTCCAGACGCTGTTGTGGCTCCTAGGTTCATTAATGAGGCTCACTGTCAATGAGGTCTTTTGACAAATATGAATTTATTAGGGAATTTTCCATGTCAGTTTCCATTAAGAGCCAACAAGCACACTTGGGGCAGGTTGGAAAGCAGCATGTACTTTTTGTGAATACACAAACTTCTTGATGAAGTTTATTCTCCTGTGGCATTACAGAAAGGCAGCAAAATTATCATCATTTTGCCACCAACTTGTGCATAAACTGCACGCTCTCTCCACATGGCCTAGACATTGAGAAGTGAGGAATTCTGGTGCAAGAGACCATAGTCCGGCAGTCTGGAGCAGGATAGAGTCTTAAGCCAGATAGGAGCAGGTTAGTCCTTCCCATCACAAGCACCTGGTCTCTAAGGTTACAGGGCTTGCAGGGACCTCCGAGAGTTCTGCTCCCGCACTCCTGAATCACGGCGCTCTGGGGAGCTTGATCCTACCATGGTGCCAAGGGCAAAAATTCCTGAACTTGGTGTCCTAAGATAAAATAACAGAGGTGGGGAAGTGAGAAACAAGTCTGTCATCTGGAAAGGAACTGCAGTCCTTTGTTATCCAGTCGCTAGCCTGGCTCAGCATGAGCTAAGAGTGGATCCAACTGCACCAGAAAATGTATGACGTAACCAGCTCCCTGCCTTCCCAGCCATGGCATTCAATATGGAAACATAAAGCATGTCAGCGTTTCTCTTGCCGCACCTTGTCCTACCGCCTTTGGTTTCTGTCTTCCTTGTTTTTATATATTCCCCCAGAAATGTCTGTGAAAGGCAGTATACAAACTATATATGACAAATATATAGCACTGTATATAATATATGTGTTTGTTCTCATTTTTCTCTCCTGTGTGTCCCTCAACCGATTTAGAACTAAATGAGCCTACGAGCTCAACTTTGTTGCAAGGTCAGTATCTTCCTTGCTTTATGTTTTGTCTCCCCTTCCCTCTATCCCAGAGCCCCCCTTCCCCACTCCCCATCCCCTGCTGTGTATTACCTGTGTCTGTAAAGTGTCTTAGAGGATGTGGAAAGCTAGTGAAGGAGGTGATTGGGAACCAGGGAGACTTCAAGCTCTCTTCGCTCTGCTCATCCCTTGCTCACACTCCCTCAGGAGGGCTGGGAGGGGGAAAGAAAGAAAAGTATTGTTAAATTCTCCAAGCCCAGAGATCAGCACAAAGGCAAAGCGTAGAGAGTGAGTCTGGGACCCGTAGGAAGACTAGTTCAACCAACTGAGCAGTTTTTGTGAAAAGGGTCTTATTGATGGTCCCTCAGCAGCAGAATCAGACACCAAGCACACGAGGATTCAGATATTCTGTCAAATGCATCAACTGGCTCACGAGGTTCTCCAAAGGAGGAAGATAGGCATGGCGCTGCATGAGTGGTTGCCAATACACAGCGATTTCTAGTTTAGTGCCTGGCATTTAGTAGTTCTTTGGTCTTGGGCAACTCACTAAGCCCTATTTAGACTCAATTTCCTCTTCTCTACAATACAGTTGATCTGCCTTATCCACCTTACAGAGTTGTTCCAACAGTCAATGGAGAATGCATATTACAAAGGCTTTGAAAACTCTGAGGTGCATGTTGAATCTCCAGACGTAAACTGAAAGACAAGGACGCCCCTCAGTGGAACATCACAGGGTGTCCTTCACTCATTTCTCAGCCCCTTCTCCACAGTCCCTTTACATCCTCTTCCACTTACAGCCCTCCCCTGCAAATATCTCCTGCATCTCTTGCCTGTCTTTGCACATCCCTTCCAATTTTCTCACTAACCTAGAGTGAGTGACTCATTAAGACTATGACTAAGCATCCAAGCAAGCAGTGGAATAAAATGTGTGTCACGTGCACTGCTCTCACCCTAAGGACAGTGCTGACCACAGCAGTAGCCTTTCAGGAAGGCAGCTGTGAAGCCAGGGAGGGGAATGCTTCTCCCACCTTCCACCCCAATCCCCTGACCTCCTCTCCCCACCTCACCCCACACCACCCTGTTCATCTCCTCACATTCTGGCCTTGCAAACTGTCATCAGAGGATGGCTGTAGACTTCGGAGGTGGAGGGGTAGATGAAAAGAAATGCATTACATAGGAAGCGCTTGACAGATGAAAAAAAAAGTACCTTTATCATGGAAAGAGAGAGGGCTGCATTACTTACCTTAGTGATGTACAGCACCACAGCGATGAGCCACGAGCAAGAAAATGAAACAAAGAAATAGAAAGGAAAAGTGTCAATAGACTTACTCAGATTCAACCTATGATTCAACTTGTGTTTGTTGAACCTCCATGTGAGCGTATTCACAGACATAAAACAGAGAGCAGTAGAAAAGTGGGTAACATACAGTACCAGGGAAGTGAGAGAGCCTGGAGCATGGGCATGCATTGCTATGGCTATGCTTTTGGAAGGACTGAGCTAGTTCTGACAACTGAGATCTTCATTCACAGAGGAAATTGGAGCTTTTGAAACTCAGGTAGGGACTTTTAAAAGAGTATTTAACGGAAGGTGTACTCAACTCACAGAACATCATCCCATATCAAAGTCAACCGCAGGAAAACCAACCAGAAACACAAACGAAAGCAAACAGGTTACTTTGCCTGGTCACTGAGCAGGGGACAAGGAGCAAGAGACATTATTTTTGGCCCCATCTGCTGAGACAAAGCTGGGCTGCTCCCTTCTCTCCTGTGAACTGATGACTCTGAGTGGAAGGCTTTCTTTGCCAACTTGCTACTCTGATTCTTTGGATGTGCTCGACCCCTCATCTCAGCAACCTTCTTGGGTGTAGGAGAATGGGTCAGCGAAGAAGACTGTGGACATCTAAAACGTTCTGACAGTTGGATTAGTACAGTCTTCAGTAGAGCTGCTGGACTCTTGTACAATGAGAAATAATTTAGAGAAGACAGCCCTTGCACCTGGGCTCATTTACTGCACTCATGTGTTCATTCCCCCGCCTCGTTTGCTAGTCTTCGATACAATAGAGAGCTATGTATTTTCTCAGGAAATACCCTCCAAGTTATACTCACCTTACCTCGGAAATACCAGGAAAGATTTATATGAATGCGTTGATTTCCACTGACAGAGTACACTTGGCTTTAAGAGAAGTTCAAAGCTATTTTGCTAACCAATATCTGGATGGACTAGAAGTATTTTGATAAGAGAATTTCATTCTTCCTCAGCATTTTCTGCCACCATTGAAGTATTTTTCTGCTTCCCTTTTGCAAACAAAACAGATTGCATGTCACCTCTCCTATTAATATTTGGTGGTGCAGGACTCTCACAGTGATAAATAAGGACTCAAGGATGTTCCACCATCCCTCACTGAACTTCCGCACAGGAAAGTGCACTCAGGCCACAGTGCAAACTCAGCGGCTCCGTGGCTGTTCATTTTCCACCCACTGGCCCTTTGTCTTTTATCTTCTAGGCATTAAGTCAGATTTGATGGTATCAGTGGGCTGGGAAAGGTTGGCTGATTAATGTCTGTAAACCTCACAGTGACCATCAAAGCAATTTATTAAAGAATAGGGGACCAAAGTAAACTCTGTATATCAGAAAGAAACTATTGCAGCAGAAGAGATTATTAGTTCTTCCCTGCAGAGGATTAAAGACAGTTAATTAGGTCAAGTCATCCAGTAGTTAAGCATTTCTATGGTATGTGTGTGTCTAGATAACAGAAAGTACAAAAGAAACAAAAGTCCCCCACCCTCTTGCTAGAAGGTTTGTATATCCATCTTCACATGAAACCAGCCCTCCCCTGCCCATTGGAGCCAGACAACAGCCTTTTGCTTAACTGGACACTCGGATTCAGCCAAATTAGCTTTGCTGGAAAAAATATAACTTTCTGGATTGAGCAAACATTGAATATTGACTTAGAGTTGGGGTGGGAGGGTTCTTTTCACTGTTGTTTTCTTCTTTTTTTTTTTTTTCCTCTTTCCCCCTTCCCCTTTCCTCTCTCCCTTTCTTCCTTCCTGTCTCCCTCCCTTTCTTCCTCCCTCCCTCCCTTCCTTTCTTTCGTCCTTCCTTCCATCATTCTTCTTTCTTTTCAACATATTTTCCTACCCTCCCTGACCTACTGTTAACATACCATTAACAAAGAGATCAGTTAAGTTTCAGTTAAAGCCTTGGTGTGGAAAATGCATGCTTGACACGCTTGAATTTTCAGGGATTGTTTATGTTCCTGAGAGTCAAGATGTTACTCAAAGACTTGAGCTTATGGCCAGCATTAGCTTTGATGGCTCAAGCAAGGCTCCTGTTTCTGGAAACGGGACACAACACACGCTGGACAGAAGCATGTCAAGCATGGCACAGAGGACACTGCCAGCATGTCGTCTTAGTACCAAAGCAAGGGGGGTGGACTGGAATGAGCATGATGGGTGTAGAGTATATACGAAAATATCCTGGCATTTCCACCTCATTGTGGTGGGGTAGAAGTGGTATCAAAAGGATGCTCTAGTTGATCAGAAGGGTTGAACAGTTGCTACCTGGAAAAGCCCAAGGGTGAGTTCTAGCTAAAGTCTAAGATGAGCGTCAAATTGTTTTTTACCTATGTGGACACTAAAAAGAGTTGGCCATCTTTCAAGTAGTGTGTGTTGGAGATTCAGATGAAGAGAAAAAAAACCCATCTGGATGCAATAATTAAGCTGAAGTTTTTGGGGGGTCTTTGTTTATAGAAAACCTCTCGTATTTCCAGCAGGAACTTGTGCTTTCAATGCATTCTTCTTTCTGATAATCTCAACTGCCAGGTGAAAGCTCTTCCAGGGTCCTTCCTCCAGCAGTCTGAACCAGCACCCACATCACTCTCTGGATGAGCACCCCCAAACTGCTTGTGGTTTGGGGGTAAAAGTTTTATGACTATTTTATCTCCTGAAGTCTGTCTTCAGTCCATCCTTCCTCCTTCCAGTTATCTTTTTTCTTGCCACAGAGAGGCTCAAAAATCACTGGTACCTAAGACAATTAATGAAAATGGCCCTGCCCCATCCTTAGCTTCTGAACTTGTTTCTGGGGCCCAGCAAGCCCTTCAAGGGACCGTCCTTGTTAAATGCACAGGCAACATGGCATCGTCACCCCTGGCTTTTCCCGACCATCCTGTTGTACATCAGATATTTTCTCAATCACAAAACTTTTGATCGTAGATGAACCCTTTCCCTCTTTGTACCTTCAGAGTGGCTTCTCAGGGTCGCTCATGCCCACTTAAATCAAGAGGGATATCATGTGTCAGGTGATTTTAAAGAATAGATTGAGGGCGTGAATGCACAGGTATGTATTCATCTGACTTTGAGCAAATGTTTTAGTTGCTTTTAGGATGAGTTATATCTAGGTTGTCTTTCTGTATGCGAGGACCTTTGCACAGAGAACATAGACTCCCAAGGTATCACTTTGATGCAAAAAGCTTTAGTGTCATTTTCCATCCTCTCTGTATCCAGGGTGAACAACAAAGAGGGAAGTAAAAGATTAGAGATCATTCCAAATTCAGGCCAAACAAGGCATCTACTATCTACAGAAAAGGTGGAGAGGCTCTGTAGGTTGTTCTGAGAGCTGAAGCTGGTGAAGTGGAGATCTTTCACAGTCTAGGCAGCAGAGAGGGGCCAGGATCCCAGCATTTCTACAGGGAGGTCCTAGCAAGTGCAACTGTAGCAGCACGGGTGTGGGTCATAGCTGCAGGGTGCCCCAGAGAGATGAAGCCCTGTGGAACCAGCTTGGTATTGTCCAACTCTGCAAGAGAAGTCAGATATCAATGGTTTGGGCTCCTCTGGAACATGGAAACTAACTCACTAGTGTTTCTAAATGCATAGCTAAATGCCAGTCAAACTTTTGCATTTCAAATACAGCATGAGCACCTACATTCAAATGGTGTAGTATAAATCCATAGGCAGCAATCAACTTTATACGTAAGGCCTATAGGCTTCAACTAATTACAGGATAGCCTGATGACCAAAGAAAGAAAGTTGTTCTACAAAGGAGATTTGGTTTGGTGCCTCAGGCTCCAAAGGTGCAGCTGTGTCACCTGCTAAAATCAGGCGGACATCTTGGCTCTGCTTCCGTCTGTGGTCCAACCTGACTGTCATTCACATCCTTCTCCAGCAACCTGCACACCTTTTGTGGCAACTGGCTGCCCAAGTAAACCAGAAAACCAGAGGGGGTCATATAGGAGGGCTGGGCAGTGGTCAGGACAGCAAGGGACACGTGCAAGAGGCCCAGGGACACTGCTGCGCCAGGAGCGCCAGCTTCTTCCTGAAATCATCTGAGGGCAAAGTGAGCACCTCCGTCTGCTTTTGACCTTAACGGTGGCTTGTTTTTAATTTCTTTTAGAAGTGAAAACTACAGCCCTGACCCCTTGGAAAGGTTTGTATATTTTTCAGACAGCTGCTGCGTTGGTGGGTGTGGGGTATGTAAAACTCTTCACGTTCCTCCCAGATGCCTTCTTTCCTGAGCTAACTCCAGGAAGCAGCGCAGAGGGAACCCTCCGCTGACCTTGAGCCACCTCCGTGTCAATTTAGATTAACCCTATCCCCAAGGACATCCAATCCTTCCTGGGTAGATCCCACTTGCAGCAGCCTAACTTCTCTTTGCTGGCGGCACTAATGAGCACCTGTCAGTGCCCAGAATAGCTCCATCTCTGGGCTTCTCTGCACCAGACCTGCCTCTTTCCTCACACACGGATGCTCTAATGCAGCGATCTTCTTAGACCTTGGCCCTGCATGCTGCCCTTGCTTGCACCATTCTTTCTATGTCTCTAACTTGGAGCTGGAAGGGGAGTGGCGGCGGGGAGGGGAAGATGGGAGGAAGGGGGAGGTTCTTGGGTGAGTCACTTGGCTACGAATAAAATGCATCTTATTTGAAGCTTTCATTCCTGCCAGATGTTTCCGATGGATAATTGACACTCATCACAGTTCTCTGGGACCCTAACTGTCCTGGTAATTAGTCTCTTTAGGCCTCCGCAGCTCTCTAATGAGATAGAGGCAATAAAGGCATTCACTGTGGAGTGGAGGCGTGGCTGAATGAAGAATGGAGGCCTCATCTGCATGGCCCATGTCACTAGGCAGATGGGCTGAGCTGTCGCTCTGGCCCACACTGGCTTTGAGAGGGCCTTGATCCCAGGGTGCTGTGTTCCACGCCCGCCTGGACCTAAGGTCTTCATCTCGTGGAATCCTTCCACATAGCATTCATTCAGTGTGGGATGGCCTGCGGGAGGCAGCCCAGCGGCACGCCTGCGTTTCTCACCTTAACCTGTACCCAGGTGGAGCAGGCCATGCAACCACACTCTCTTCTCTTTATTCTCTGAAGATGTGTCTCTGAGATACTGGGAAGATGGTTGCATTTGAAGGCAGAAGTCAGGGGACTTGGGAAAGTCACTTAAGCTCCCTGAAGTTCAGTTTCCACATGTTAGAAAGGGAGATAATAATTCTCATCTCCTACATGAGTGTCATTAAGGTGTTGTGATAGCTTTCCAAATGCAAGCACTCTATCTGAAATCCTAATTGACATGACTTTGCTTCTATGTAGATAGACACTCAGCCACTTGTATTGGATATAGTTAGACAAGGAGAGTAAAGGTATTTGGAAGAGGAAATTGAGATAAAGCGGAGGGCAAGGTACGAAAAACGTTTTTGTTTTGCTTTCTTCAAATATAATTTTAAGCAAAAGTAAAATACAACGACAAATAAATGTGGATATGTCAGCATGAGTGGCAACGCCCCCTCCTTCTTTCAACAAACACTGGTTGAATCCCTGCCATGGGCCAATGAGATACAGACTCTGCTCTTAAGGAACTTACTGCACAGAGGACAAAGGAGGAAATACAAATAAGTTAGGCAAAGAGAATTATGACACAGGGTGGTAAGTATTGCACTAGTGGGATGTGCATGGCACTGAGCCAGGCAGGGAAGACTGCCTGAAGAGGCGTCTGAAGGCTGGAAGAGGAGCTGGAGTGAAGAATAAGAGTGAAATGGGTGAAGCATATTTCGGACAGAGGGGAGAGTGTGTGAGGGTGGGAAAAAAGACACGCCCCTGTGTGCACACCTGTGGCTATGTGGCAAGGGGCAAGGGCACCGAACTAGGTGTGGCAAGAAGAGACACCAAGGATGCAGACTGCAGGCACATCATGAAATGTAGTGCTCGTTCCACTTAGAAGCTGGGCTTGGTGCTAACCTGTTGGCCTCAAATAAATGAGGATCATGATCAATTTGGGGTAGAAACGTCACCCTGGAATTAGCGGAAGGAATAAATTCCAGGGGTCAAGGCCACAGGTGGCAAGGCTCAATTGGTGAATATTTTTGGGAATTGAAAGATGAGATGGTGCAGACTGTCTCCTTTGAGAGGATGTGTGGAATGCCCCTGCCTGGGGGCTACCCCTGTTTCCTTCTCCTCCTGTCCAGCTTGCTCCAGGTCTGGTGTCCTGGATGAGACAGACAGGTTCCAGGGTGGCGAGTGCCTGTGCCTGTGGGGTGGGCTGTGCAGACTGGATATGGTCACATAGTCAGTGCCAGCCACTCACCAGCCTGAGATGGAGACGGAGAGCTTCAGAGGGGCCGCTCGGGCTTTTCCCAGATATACTACAAGCAAGAGAATGGCTGGCAGGCACTTGGTGGCCTTTTTCTGTCTTCCATAGGAAGAAGTTTCTAACACAACAGGTGAGGACTCGTCCTTACAAGCTCTCTGTAGTGCTTCCCAGCGTGAAGTAGATCCACGAAAGAACTCTGAGGGGCGTAGCAAGGAGACCAAACACAGGCACCCAGGGAGAGCACCTGGCATAGCCGCAGGGCCATTGAGATGTGCCACAGGGGGTGTTTGCCCGCTCTCAGTCATCTCCGAGCTGCAGAGTCCCCAGCCTGGAAACAAGGTTTCAACATTCCCTTACATGGTAACCACGCCAGGCCCCTGCTGGGCTGTGGCATTATCCTCCCTGGAGGCTTCACTGCAAGGAGGGAATGCAGAAGAGAGAAGAGAACCTCAGTGCAGGGAAGGGACACTTGTTTTCCATCTCTTTTACCCAGGGCATCTTCTTAGTCATGGTGAGGGAACGGGAGACGGGAGGTGGGAGCGTGTGGGAATTGAACGGGAAATGGGTTTCAGAGATGTACATAGGCGTTCAGGAGAGCACGAGGGATGAAAGCGGCAGAGCAGTGTGCTGACAGCTGTGTGTCCTGCCGGGAGTTAAGGACTCCAGTGTGCAGGACACGTATGGAATTGTACTGTGTGATTCATGCGTATGAAGATAGAATGTGACTGCTGACTCCGTTGAGGCAAAGCATGCAACCCGGCTTCCACAAAGACCTGCTGGGCCACGTGGACTCAGAACCACCCTTGTCATCTCAGAGTCCTCGGCCTCAGGCACAGACAAGGGCCTTGGTGGGAAGAATATTGGAGTTGCCTGGAGGGGAAGGACTCCCGCAGAGCAGAGAAACATAATCTCTCACCCTTGAAGGCATCTGGCGGAGGCTTCTCTCCTTTGATTCCAAAGAATGTGCTGGTAGATGACAGAGTGAGTGTCTACAAAGAGGGAGTGGAGTGTCTGGTGATTAGATTCTAGAAGACACAACCGGTTAGTGACCGATCCTAAATGACAAGCATTTCTGCTTGTTGAAATGTAAACCGCGGGAGCTTTCCAGGAATGTTCCTTGGTCACCTGTATCCTAGCACGGATGTCTTTGGTTTTGTGTTTTCTGCTTTCTGCAGGGTAGAGAGAATAAGTATTCCCCGGGCTTCTCAGCATGGGGATCTGCACCGCTGAGAAGTTCTGGCATTATGGATGCTGCGAATCAGACACCAGGGAAACGTGAGGTTGATGACCTATTGCATTTCAATCTCGCGGCTACCTATTTAGCTACTGCCCCCAAATTAGGGATTTATCCCAAAAGGCCAAGATATAAAATCGTAAGGGCACTGGCTTCAAGCCAAGAGTTCTAGACTTGATGGAATAATCCCAAATGGAGTCGAGAAGCCTGTTTTGATTTTGATTTGCTTTAGCCAGAAATGTCTCCAACAGTGAGCATCCAAGTCAGGCGGGCAGGTTCTGGCTCTGTTCCTTATTCCCTAACCCAGGAGGACGTGGACTTAGTGAGGCCACCAGCTTTAAACACCTCTATTAAATTCAGTGCAACGGAGTGTGCCAGAGCAGGTCCAGTCTGAGAAGGTGGCCTGGTTCCTCGGGTACCTAATTCATCTGGGCATCCAACCGTATGTACTCTACAGAAATCAGAGCGCCATTGGTCATGGGGTTTCTTGGCCACAAGGGCCGAGGTAGCCAGAAAACGTATGTTTCAGAACAATAGGGAAGCTGCTGGGGAACTGTACTGCCTTGCAGTTCTCCTGCCTCCTGTGTTTGTGTCTCCATCTCAAAGAGTATCTGTTTGTAGGCCATGTCAGTGTATGCCTCCTAGGGAAAGGTGCCCCCTACCACCCCACCAAAGGACATACACTGGGGCAAGTTCTGCATCCCAGTGTCCTCATTAATCTCCAGTTACATCCACATGCACAGGAAGGCTTCCTGTTCCTTTCTTTGACTCACCTCCATCCATGTGGGCTGGCTTTGGCCTTGCAGGCATGTGATCCTTGAGCTGCATCTGCTCTTACCCCATCCAGATGGGGAAGAGGTCAGGTGCTCCAGGTGGAACCCTGGTGCCCTGCCCGGGGCAGAGTGATTGGCAGGATGGCCTCTGTGCCCAAGGCAGCAGAAGCAGCAGGCAGACAGATTGTTTTGTCCAACAGGTTCTTTTCTGAGCCACAGGCCAAGCAGCTGGAGGGTAGGTGAGTGTTTCAGGTAGGCGGGGCTCAGAAGTGGATGGGTGATGAGGCACTCAGTACAGTAGTCTGACTTTGTTAAAGCTCTGTGTAGGATATTAATGAATCTGCCACCACCTTCTTGAATTTGAGCCTGAGCCATGGCCTTTGCATGTTATGACACAGTAAGGAAGAAGGCCCAGGACGCTTTAACCTGAGCCTCATGTTCTCCTTGCAGGGGAAGGCTTCCTGTTATATAGTGTGTGTGTCTGGGGGATGTGAGCCATAGAACGTTCACTTCTCAAGCTGGGGCTGGAACACCACGTGTTTCACTTAGAGGGACGCCTCACCAGGGGCAAGGCCGAATGACAGCAGACCAGGCAACCACCGAGCTTTCCTTCCGTTTTCTCCCAGCCCACTCACGGCGAGTATGTTCTCTCCACAGGCCCGGGCGCTGTCAGCGAGGTGAGCAACGGCACGTCGAGGAGGGCAGGCTGCGTCTGGCTGCTGCCTCTTCTGGTCTTGCACCTGCTCCTCAAATTTTGATGTGAGTGCCACTTCCCCACCCGGGAAAGGCTGCCGCCACCACCACCAACACAACAGCACTGGCAACACCGACAGCAACCAATCAGATAGTTACAAATGAAATTAGAAGAAACACAGCCTCATGGGACAGAAATTTGAGGGAGGGGAACAAAGAATACTTTGGGGGGAAAAAGTTTTCAGAAAGAAATTGAAAATTGCCTTGCAGATATTTAGGTACAACGGAGTTTTCTTTCTTTTCCCAAACGGGAAGAACGCAGCACACCCGGCTTGGACCCACTGCAAGCTGCCTCGTGTGACCTCTCTGGTGCCAGTGTGGGCGAGGGCTCAGTCGCTTTGCCCACAGAGTGCCCCCACGTGGAACATTCTGGAGCTGGCCATCCCAAATTCAATCTGTCCATAGAGACGAACAGAGTGAGACCTTCCGGCCCAAGCGTGGCGCTGGGGCACTTTGGTAGACTGTGCCACCACGGTGTGTGTTGTGAAACGTGAAATAAAAAGACAGAGAAAGAAAGAAAAAGGAAACAAGACCGTCCGACAGCAACAACAATCCCACAAACAACAGTCACAAAAGATACCGTTAAACTTTTTTTTTTTTTTTTAATCATTTTACTACATGGACATCATGGATAACAAGGGATTCTGATTCATTATTAATTTTATTAATTATATTTTCTGATATGAGTCTAGAACTTAGTGCAAAAACAAGACAAAACTAAAAAAATACAACTGAAAAGGGTGAAGAGAAGTATGTTTGTTAAACAGTAAAAATGAATAGTATACTTCTAAACTAGGTTTACAACTGGTGGACCAGACACCAGGCACTAATCGCCTGGTGAGGATTTGGCATATCCACCAAAAAATACATCCGATTTAACCAACATCTCCACCAGCGCTACAGATTCCTCCCGACTGTGGCATCTCATGCAGACAATACTATGCTCTCTACACACTGTTTAGAAATGGAAAGGTGATCTGCACTGTATCTTGCGTTTGTTGGCTATGCTTCTTTTGATGACATATATTATACAGTATATATATACATATATTTTTTTTGTTAGAGTTCTAGCCATTTTATTTCTCCGCAGGGTCCTTTCTCAGACATTACTGCATGCTGTATATGGCGTTAGCTGTGTGTTGATCTTCTAAAAGATGATAGAGTTTACTGGTAATTGTGTAATCAGCTCCTGCCTTTTTATTTTCTTGGGTTATTTACATGTCAGAGACATTTATAAAAAGTGAAAAGATAAAAAAAAATCCGACTAATACCAGGCGCAGCATCTTTCCAGGTGTGGCTCTGCGCGTCGGCCACCCCAGGTGGCCCCGCTTTCTCCATCCTGCTCTGTGGCATTAACAGACAGCAAGCAACTGAACAAGCAGAACCGTCAGTACCCACTTGCTTTAGCCCATTATGGGAATCTCTGATGCCTTTGTGACCACTGGAGAGTTTAATCCTCTTGGTTTATTTTATTTAATTTCCCACCTTTGTGTGAGTGTGTATGAAAGAGAAGAAAATGCAATTTTTAGGTAATCTTTTTTTTCCCTCCCCTGAAAGTCTGGGAACCAGAGAGTCCTCGGGGAGGGGTCCTGGATGTGATGAGGGAAAGTGGGATTGGGGGATCCGGGAGGGTGGGGTTGTCTCTGACTTGACATTAAAAAGTGTTCCATGTCCCTCTTCACCTGGTGTGGTACCTCATTCTACAGCGGGGCGGGGTCACAGCCTGCCTGGCTCAGGTTTGAAGGATGGGGGAGGATGGGCTCTTAAACCCTCCTGGGATGGAGGGGTGGTAAGTGCTGAGATGACGAACAGGAAGGACATGGGACCTCCTCCATCTGCACACAGAGGCAAGGTGAAGGTGCGTCTGATAGGGACTGCATTTTCAGTGCCTTCAGGAGGTCCTGGCCAGGGCTGCCAGTGTCCTGCTTGTGCTCAAACATCTCACCACACAACGTGGGCAAAGGCCAAGTCTAGTCAGGGAGACGAATTTAGGCCCGATTATTTCTGGGAGGCAGCAGAAAGTCACCGTCACAGAAAGTAAACAAGAAAACTCCCATAAGCCAAAAAAAAATCTCCCCACAAAAAACAAAACAGAAAGCCAGCTTGAAACATCATGTTTAGTTTTAAATAATCTGCCATCAACCAGTCCTCCAAACCCGACCTCCAAACCTCACCTCTAGCCACATAAGAGGAACTGAGAATCAGAAATGGGTCCGAGCCAAAACACACAGGAATGACGGCACTTGCGTTTCCAGGTCAGCTTCACCTGAGAGGAACCAGGAAGGACTGGGATGGAGCTGTGTCATTTCCAGTTGCTTCTGGCAAGACTGAAGAAAGCTATTGACTTCACCTTTCTTTGTGTCCTTCTACCCTTTCACCCCTAGCCCCAGCCACATCCCAGATGCCCCAAGTTTTTCCTGGCAGCAAGGTCTGGAACTACCTGGCCAAGCCTCAGGAATCTTGACTGCACTGGTGTTTCTCCCTCCCTCTGCCCAGGAACCATGAAAGAGAAAGGGCTCTGAGTCTCCTTAGAATGAAAGTGGGTGGGTGGGATTGACTAACCCTCCCATGCCTAGCACCTCAGTAGACACTGGCCTGAGGGTTTGGGTGCAAAGCGTGGCTTACTGGAATAGAGTGGGGAAAAGATAGGTGAGCTCCATATTCCTAAACGGGAGCCCAGAAACACCTCTGAATACCATGTGCCAAGGCACCTGCCAAGAGGCAGTTCTGAGGCTTGGCTGAGACAGCAGAACACAGCCTTTGTCTGAATGGGAGCTTGATCTTTCACATATACTATGTACTAGTGAATGCCAATATCTACTAAATGACCACCAGTAGACATTAGTAATATCTGCTACTGCTAATCATGCTTCAAATAGCTATCATCACCCTCCCAGGAGAGAGTGTTGAGTCAGAACCAACTTTGTAAGGGGCACTGATGAGGACTTAATTTTACCTATTTGCCAACTCAATAGTTTTCTTGCCTTGTGGATCTTTAGAGCCCTGGTTATGCAAGAGCACGTTCTTTGTTGAACCAGCTTGACTGTGATTGATGGGTTCACCAGATAGGAGCCCTTCCTAGCCTGCCTCAGCAGGAGCTTACTCTCATCTTCTGCTGAGTGTACTGTGTGAGCCTCAGTCTGCTGAGTTGCAGTCTTTAGAGGGAACATGTGGACACCACAGGAAAGGGTATTCTGCCTTCCAGGTCTTCAGTCAGATTTAGAGTTCCATCTAGGAGGACGTGGCTTTGAAAGGAGCTTATAGGGGCAAGTCACAGACCTACCTTTTCTGGAAATGGAAGCTTGGTAAGAGAATGTTCATCAGAATGAGCACAGAAAATCACCCTGAATAGAGCCTGTAGTGATTTTTTTTTTTTCTTGGTGCAGGCACTGATGGAGGACAATTGCTGCAGGTTGACCTGGATTCCAAGTATACTGGACCCCTTATGATTCAGAGATAAGTCACTGCCATACTTTAGGATTCCTCCACTACCCCTAATATTAGGATGTCCCCTGACATGAGCATCTCATGAATGCAAGGAGGATTGTGAGGGATGGACAGTCCCTAGCCACTCTAGCCAAACACTTCTGTAGAATCACATCTCTCTTCTTTCGGTGGAATATCTACTCCTTTCCAGCCATGCAAATGTGCAGTGGCTCTTCTGCTCCTGTTGTTAAATATTGCCCCACCAAGGCTTGTACACAGTAGATCCAGATGTCTAACTTGAAGCATTGAGAATGCTCATCCAAGGACTGCTTTCTGACCAGTGGGATGTACTAAGCATATTCATGACTGACAATCCACAAATGTTCGTTTTTGTTGCTGTGGATGGTGATGATGACAGTGATGATGAATGACAACTATTGTTCAAGCTGGAAATAAGTTAGCAAATGAATTAACACTAAAACTTAGTTGAGGTTCAGCACATTTCACTGGACCGGCTCCATCTTTATCTTATACCTTCTGAACTGTGAGTTTGAAACAAAAGACAGGAGCACTAACCAATTATAGGAATCTAATGGATGGACTTGTTTAATTAAAACATGCAATATGGGTTTACGACACATTTTAAGGACTTGCTATTTCCACAATGGTAAAAATTTGAGGTACTTCTCACTAAAGAGAAGAATATATGCTAAAGGATGGATGTGGAAAACTGCATGTCGTTGTGCTACTATTTGCCAAATACATATGCACACATCAGTCGTTTACCCTTCGTCACAGAAGCAGTAAAAAATAATTGAGATTAGTGGTATCTGATGCAGTAATGAAGTATTACCTCTTTTCAGCATTTAAAAAAATTTTTAAACCAAATCCCAGAGCTAATTTGTTTCAGAACTTGCTCATTGGGACTTGAGTGCATAGTATATCTCCTTTGTCATCCCATAACTGCTCAAACAAGCCATTCTAAAGTATCAATTCTTTCCTCTCTCTGTTCTCAATTCAGGCACTATTTCCATGAGCGTCCAACTTTATCCGCCTCCAAGGCAATAAATGCAAATTAATATCCCCATGACTTGTGAATAGCTGAGCTATCTGAGTCTCTGCCTTCTCATTCAGATTTTTCTGTTTTCCATAACGCTATACCTTCGCTGTCACATACCTATTACGTTGTTAGAAACACACACTGTTTATAGAAAAGGCTCCCTAATTCCTGAGCTCATGTTAAGATCCATTCTTACAATTCATGTCTGAGGCATTTTGGTGCATTATCCTTTATGATGGTGACCTGGGTTGACTTTCGTTTTTTGAATGTTGATTTTTACTCCCATGAAAGCCTCCAAATAACTTGGATCCCTTCTCTTGGCATGATGTGAGAGTGTATGAGTTTATTTCAATATTTTAGGGATTGTTAACATTATTTGAAAATGAATTATTCCTCTCTCAGTGCATTTATTTTATTAGAACTTCCTGGAGTTTCCGTAGCACTTACCTTGTTTCCAGTGAATCTTGAACCGTGGCATTTCTGAGTAGCACTGTGATATTTTGGATACAGAACTGAAATGCTAATCAGTAGAATTAGGCTGTAGTCCAGATTTTATCACTAGTTGAATTTCCCTTTCCTTATCTTTTATATAAGATGTTATGATGGAAGATTGCTGATGTTCCATCTAGCTTTAGAATTCAATAATTAAGTGATTTTACGTTTTATAAGATTTCTGCAAGGAAAAATTGGGGAAGCAGCATTTTTGATAAATGAAAATTGAAAGTGTGAATGTGGGCAAGATCCACAGCCAATGCATTGTCTGTGTTTCCAGAATAGTTCATAAGAAGATAAAATGCGTGATCCTAACTGCCATTTCTGCAGATATTTGAAGTGACTCCTTAAGGAAAACTTGAGGGATGAACACTGCAGCACTTGGAAAGAAGCATTGCTTAATAAAAGACAGTGGCTTTTTCTGGAACAGGAAATAATCTTAGCCCCAAGCTGCCCTCTATATGACACAAGTAAAACAAGAGAGAATAAACTGTCACATATCCTAAAGTCTAGAAAAGTAAAAGATGTTGAGAGTAGGCAAAAATCTCAGAATTTTCAGTACAAGTGTGTGTGTGTGTGTATGCGTGTGTGTGTGCATGCATGTGTGTGTGTAGTATTTACTGCAATTATTTAACTCTTCAAAACAGATGACACCTGTTATTCCTAAGATTCATCTTTAAAATAACAAGAAATAGTGATGAAAAGAGGGGTCTCTAGATATAGTTCACAATGATTTCTCATCATCCTGACCATTACAATCAAGGATCCAGAAGTGTGCATGCAGATTTCATTGGACATATTTGTGTATTTTTGGCTGAATTCCAGGTTCATTGAGTCCTCATCACTCTCCTCTCTCGCGCCCTAGACTCGGCTTCATTTCCAACCTCTCTGTGAAGAGCTTGAGGATGTAAAAGGAAGAGGGCAAAGTGTGGGGTTGGAGTGGACAGAGTGCGGGGTCGGAAGATAGGTGAGCCCTGGTCCCCTCCCCAAGTGCCTGTGCCCAGCCACCCTCTTCAGCTTTAATTTCCTCTGAAGGTTCACTTCTAGAGTTGATGGAAGGTCAGAAGGAAGAGCCATCAAACTATACCTCCTGCACTTGACTAACTGTAAGAGTAAGACAGATGCCAGGAAGAGGAGCCCAGACTGCAGAGTGCACGTGTGGAGGAGGGGTCCTCTTCTTGTGGAAAGATGCCGGAGAAAGACAAATGAAAATAAAATAAATGATTCTACCCCACACCACGTCACTTTCGCCAGTGCCCATAATTCTCATTTGTGTTTGGTTACTCGAAAAGGAGCTAAGATCTGTGGCAACAGATGCTGTCTGTCAAATACAAAATTTCTTTTTCTCTAAGTGTTCATATTACAATTTTAACAGGCAAGAAAAAATGAAAATAAAATGAGAAAATATAAAGGACATCCAGACAATTAAAACTTCTCAGTGAGTAAGTACGAGAGATCTGCATAGACGTGCATCAAATGTCTTCTATGATGCTACAAGTAGGATCTCAGAGAGAACTGAGGTCTTGGCTCCCTGCTCACTGGTCACAGGGAGCACCATTCCTAGACAGGCTCTCAGCAAAACACAATCAGATTTGAATACTAGAGGTAGCATTACTCTCATTGCGTACCGATGTCTTCCTATTTTCCTGATGATGAGAAATAGGTAGAATACAGAAAATATGAAGCAGGCAGCCAAGAGATGC